TATACAGTATGTATTTAGTTGGTTATGGGTTTAGGGTAAAGGTATATTTTGCATTCATCCTAAACCTTGTCCAGACAATGTGTACAAACTGAGTGACGAGTAGTAGCATTGTTGCCTAAGAGTTAGAAGATCCTTGGTTTGCTTCCCAACCAATGTGCTGATTGTACTTTAAGGAAATCAAGTATTTCTGTAATATTTAAATCTGATAATATGTATATAATATATTTTACATCTGTATTAAATATATACTGTATATCACAATATTTTTATTTACATATGAAAAATGTTAATAATACATGAATGAACATGCATGAGCAAACAAAGTGCTGTGTCAGCATATGTAGCCTGCTTATTCCATGCTAAAAGAAAAAGAGGTTGTGGAGTCTTTTTCAGGTGTGAATGAGCAAAAGTGTGAATGGCGGGTCATTGACAATGGGGGAAGTAAAGCATAGTTCTACTGGCTAGACCAGACTAACAATTTCCAATTGTTTAATGCCACAACATTTTGACAAGAACTGACTTTAAAAAGATAATAAACAACAAACACTTAAAATTAGTTATATTACAAAATCAAATTAAATGTGTTTGCATCTCCCTTGAATGCTGGAAAGCACATAAAAACATACACTAGCACATAAAACATCCCTTAAACATGCACCACTGCCTTATAACCAAGAAGTTAATAAAATTCTCAGCAGACCACAACCTCCTCTTCTCTTGCATCTAGCTGGATCGTTTAAACTTACAGATATCATTGATGAATTGCAGATTACAGAACAACGTAATTTAACAATTTGCCAGTCGGTCACCACTCCAGTCCCAGACAGATCTAAAAAGGGAAAACACCCACATCCCAAACAGGACTGCCAATTCCAATTAACAGACACAGTGGGACACAGAACCCGCACCCTAAATAACAAACAATGTTTGTTAAAACTAAGTAAGCAGTTCGCAATATAAACTCCACTACAATTCTTCAGTTTACAAAATAAATTCCCCCAAAGCTAAGAAGGTGCATCAGCTATAATGTTCTCTGTGCCCTTCTTGTGTCTAATTTCCAGGAAGTAACCCTGTAACATAAGTGACCAGCACATCAGTCATTGACTATGTTTATACATAGGATGAAAAAAAAAGTCAAAGAATTGTGATAATTAAAAACAACCAGTGTCAGAATATTTGAGCCTGAATAAACCTCAAAATGCTTTTTCTTCTCATTCAAATAAGTTACAATATGGCCGGGCACTGAGTAATCTTGCATTGTGGAGCAGCCCTAATTTTATTTTTAATATTAACTTAATACTTAACATACTGTGTTTTATATACTGTATAAACACACAAAATTAAAAAAATAGTGTGTAGCGACGATGCTTAAGGCAGAATTAAGCGTTGCTGTGTTTTCCTAAATGAGGCCCCATCTCTCTACCTCATCTCTGTGGTGTAGCCATAGAGAAGCTATTCTTGCATTTCTGATTTAAAGGGTTTTCTCTCCGATGGCCATTCTCGGCGTATATCTGTCTGTGAGATTCTTGGAAACATCTGGATAGCAGTCCTAGATGTCAGAGGACATTGTTACGCTTCTCTCACCTTGATCAACCAATCAGAACCTGCAGGGCGTGGTAACCCCACGTGGGTCTCAAATACCCGCCAAACTCTCAACCAATCATCACCTGTCTTTGCAGCCCACTGCAGGGCTCAGAACTTTGCTTCACCGGCCATTTTCACACCCTTAGAGACAATCACCTGAAGGCCAGTGTTGTCTGTATAGGGACTAGAACCTTGTTTTAGCAAAGTGTCGGCTCGGGGAATGCCGGTACTTAAATCGCTAGACAACGCCAACATGGACGGTTCGTTTGATCACCAAAGTATAAGTTTGGACTCTTGTAGACAATCTGAATAAGATTTTATTCAGCAGCAGCACTACACCGGAAACAAACCAAGTTTCTTCCCCCTAAAGAGTGACTTGCTCAGACCCGCGGTCACCTACTACTAGTAGGTACTTGAGAGAGACACTGTTGGGTGTGTCACCACAACAGAAATATCTCCCCATTTTCACTAGTTTTACCTTGCACATACACGTAAAACACTCCTTCATAGTATGAACATGAAAGACAAAACTGTTAGTGCATTTTAGGTGTATGTGAGAGGTAAAACTAATGAATGTGAGAGCATTTTATGTGTGTAAGCGAGAGGAAAAATGGAGAGTGTGAGAGCATTTTACGTGTGTGAGAGGTGAATTATGGCCCAATGTACAGTAGGTGATCCATATAAACGGCCCAATGTGATTGGTTGAGAAAATTTATCAACAAGCTTTCTCATTTTCTGCTGTGCTCTGAGATAAGAAATCAACCTCACCGCAACAAGCACTCAGCTAAGCTATAGCTTTAATCATCTTAGTCACACCAGAAGCAATGGCTTCATTGTCATCGGGTACGATGCCTGCGATAAGCGTTCTTCCGTCAATGCAGCCTGCAACTACAGAAGCCGAGATAAGTACTTTATTTCAACGTAATTTCTTGGGTTTCGTATCGTACAGACTGTCTCCAAGCTGATACTCGTGATAATGTTCCCGTCCCAGCTTTGGCACCACCACCATTACATCAAAATAAAGTACTTATTTTGGCTTCGTTAGTTGCATGTTCAGACCCCGGTGCCACTGGGGGGGGCAAAAGGGGGTGTCGCCCCCTCAACTGAACTGTCAAGCCCCCTCAGTTTTGGACAAATGGATATTTGAACACTTTCGCTTACTTAACCTGCACCCTAAAAAATAGTTGTACTTTGTCAATGGTCAGATAACTACACTAACCCCGAATTCACAGTTACTAGAGTGGACTCTTTGCTGTGCGGGAGGACTATCCTTCCAGGAACGGCACATATTCCATAGTGTCTACGATATTGGATGTCAACATTATTATGATCTTGTTTGCTCAGGTGGACCGATTCCTTGCAGTAGTTTATCCTTATACTTACAATCGTTATAGACGTTTATGCTTCCTCTCACATGAAATGCATTCACATTCACTAGTTTTACCTCTCACATACATGTAAAACAATCCTTCACAATATGAACGTGAGAGACAAAACTAGTGAATGTGAGAGCATTTTATGTGTGTATGAGAGATAAACTGGAGAGTGAGAGAGCATTTTATATGAATGTGAGAGAAAAAATGGATAGTGTGAGAATATTTTGTGTGTAAGTGAGAGGAATTGTGTGTGTATGAGAGGCAAAGTTTGAATAAAATATGCCTAAATGGCACTTCATAGAATGGTGTTCTGAAGTATATTCTTTGTTTTGTATCTGTTTGTGTTTTGTATCTCTTATATCTTGCTATAAGGTATGTGCCTATTATATACCTTGCATTTTAATAACCCTCACAGTAAAATCTGCCATCTGTATCCAGGCACACTGCTATATGTTTTATATGTACAATTTATGTATTAATAAATGTATCTCATGTATTGAATCCATGTGTGTTCGTTGCTGATCGATTGATTTTCTAATAGCCATTGACCTGATTTCAGACTCTTCCTTACTAACAGCTTTCAATGAAGTGCAGTTGGCAGAGTTTTGTGCAGCACCAAAAACAAATATCCAGTATTAGTATCCAGTTCTTCTCCTGTTTGTGACCACCTATCTGTGTGAAACTGGATTTTCTTCGTACATGTCCACAAAAATGATGTATCGCAACAGATTGGATGCAGAGTTGAACATGAGGCTGCAACATGCATCCATAACTCCAAATATTAAAAAAATGTATAAGTAAGAGGAAAACTCACTCATCACACTGAGATTGTTCTGTTTCTGTTGGTTTGAAGTAAATTTAGAATAAAAATTTTTAGTTCTCTTTTTAAAATACCTCATGTATTGTTGTCTCACTGTTTTACTTACTCATTTTGCTACCAACATTTCCTATTTGCGACCGTTTAGACCACATAAAGTGTTGCCTGGTTCTATAAATCCCTTCTGGTTTTCTTCTAACTTGGTTTAACCGGTGGTTAGAACTTTGATTCTTTTATTCTTAACAAGTATTTCAGTGATAAAGCATTATTGAACTGTAAGGGTGCTAATCGTAGATATCATGCGATTGATCCATCCATTTTTATTTCCGCCTTTCCTGGTGAGTGTCACTGTGAAGCTGGAATATACTCGGTAGGCAGGGTATCCCCTGGACAGGGTGCCACTCCATCGCAGGGCAAGTGCAAGTTCATCATACACATGGGGACAATTTGGAGGCCACACTAAGGGCTGAGGGGGGAAATTTGGCTCAGACACTGGGATACCTCCCTACTCTTCTCAAGAAATGCCTGGGGACCTTTAATGACCACTGAGACTCAGGACCTTGGTTTAACGTCTCATCCCAAAGACAGCAGTGGGCAGAGGGTAGTGGGGTGAAGACCTCATGCCCAGGGTGGTGACTGTTCTCTGTGATGGTCAGAATTCTACCACGGAAGCAGTCCTAAATAGAGATGTTTAATCTCTGTGAGACCACAGCCAATGATCTTCTGGGCCACATTCATCATTCTCTGCAGTGCCTTTCTCTCTCGAGAAGAGGTCTTGCCATACCACACAGTGATCCCGTGACAGAGAAAGGTGTATTAAATCTAAATTATTTGAAGCAGTATTATTGCACAGGGATGACAAAAAACTGTGTGGCTTGTTTTGTGCACCTAAATCAATTCAGATTTGCCACAGAAAAACAATCATGATTTTGAAATTGTAGCGGCAATGCTGAATTGTTTCGCAAGGTCGATTTTCTAATAGCCATCTAGGGATCATTTTGTGATTTACTGCTACAATTAATAATTGTCCCAGTAAATGCACAAAAGCCCTACACCATCTTTCATGTTATCAATCTATTTACATCTAATTTGTATATAACAAATACTGATTACTAAATCAATATGTCACAACTGTAAGCTTTATAGAATCATAATGTGAAAACTATGCAAGGGTCTGAATACTTTTTCAAGGCACTGTACATAGTCTTCTTGTTTTTTTACAGGGGGTTTCATAACAACAATATTAAAGCTATTCCCGAGAGAGCATTTGTGGGGAACCCACTTCTACAGACCATGTGAGTGTCTCTGTGGATGAGTAAATTCATATTAGAACAACATCTGTACCTGCAAATTATGCAAACTCACTAACTGTACTGATTTTATTAGCCCTCTAACTATTTGTTTTGTCTTGCCCATTCTTTTCGTAAGATTTGCGAAATGATTGTTTTTATTAATTTATTATTGATTTAACACTTCATCTTGCTTCACCAAGGTGAGTAAAGGAGATGTTTGGAGTTTTAAGAGGAGCTAAGAATAGTGAATAGAGTGTAAAGAATAGTGAAGAGAAAGCTATTAAACACATATATCAAACCTGGTCAACAGAACACCAGTTGAAAAAACATGAGCATGAGATAGTGTATATATTAAATACCTTAACAAAAATATTTCTGTGTTTCTGTGTTAGGGCATTAGCTCATTAGTATGTTTTTGAGTTTAGATTTTTAATCTTTTTCAGATTCTTTCCATAGCAATCAAGAAGATACTTACTGTAGTTTTGGAAATGTACCACACTCAATATGTCACATCTATTCATATTCTTTTAAAATTATTCTGCACTGTAAAATTCTAATTTTAAATTACTGTTCTAGGGATATGTTAAAATAATCATTAGAAGTAAAACAGACTTTGTTTATACCTCCACACTGAGATCACATTATTTTTTTTCAGCCATTTTTATGAGAATCCAATACAGTTTGTTGGGAGATCTGCATTCCAATACCTGCCTAAGCTACACACTCTGTAAGTAATTAAGGAAACTCGGTGGAAAAAAGTTAACATGTCAATGCTATAACAAAAGGATTTGTTTTCCATTGTTTCTAACCTTTCCTTGTATGGGACAATATAATCAACCTTTTATGTTCTTAATCTGTTCTGTCAAAATCTATTATTTCCCTTTGGTTCTGAATGCTTAAAAATGTAGCTTTGATACCACTGGGGTGTACAATCAAAACAAAAGGTACAATTGACATATAAACTGTATTGACTTACAGCATGAACAGCAAATGTAAACAAAATGTTTGTGGTAGCTATTTCGGTAACAACCTGAAAAGTTTTGTTGTAGAAATTGTTTCACTTTCCTTATTGACTAATGTTTATTTTATTTATCTGTAGTTACTTTAAGAACTTTACATTTCTGCCACTGTTAAATTTTTTAGGCATTATGTAAAGAAATGATTTGTTCACATAAGTGGTATTAGTTTGATACATTTTGTGTTGTTCAACTCTTCAAGAATAATTAAGGTTCTGTTGAAAATAAATTGTTGTAAAAATAAATATAGATGCCAAATGTTTTGCTGTACAATGTAGTTCTGTTGATTTTGGAAAGGGCTGAGAAAAGATTAATTCTTGGTAATGCAAAATGAGCTGCTGCTAGTTATTTTGTCTCTGTGGTTTTGTGTAAGGAACAATAGCTGTATGACACTTGTCTGTTTACTAGTTAGCCTTTTTCATATTAACACAATAGACATAAGAGTTACTAAAGAGTATTCGTTGCCCATTTTAGATCCTTGAATGGAGCCACAGAAATAAAAGAATTCCCTGACCTAAAAGGAACCACTAGTCTGGAAATTTTGTAAGTTTGTCTTTTAAATATTATTTTAATTAAACTTTTTTCCAAACATACAATTAATAAAATAATAAAGATTTTCTTGAGATTGGCTAGATGTATGCAAATCTCAAAGAAACAAATGACTCTTTGAAGCTCTGATTTTTACAAAGCAATGAATTCTGATCATTTTAATTAATTTTGCAAATAACATACAATGACATAATCTATGACATAATCATAATCAAATCCCCCAAAACAGAAAAATACAAGAAAATATGCTTTTTTGTACAAAAAATGGTGTCTTTACCCATGGTCTATCCCCAAAACAGTGTTGTCTGGGATAGGACTACAGTATTTATATTATGAGATTCAAAGTTAACACCTGACATTTACCAGTCCTCTGAAATTTAAAGTATGTTTATTTGATAAAATATACATTACAAGAATATGTTTCAAGTTTTCCATATTTTATGTAACTCAGATGTATTTGATTAAATTTATTTTTACATTTCTATATTAGGCAAGTTCTGTTATTCTGAAAAAGAAAAGATTAACATTTTTAAAGGATGGAGATAGAAATCATTTGCTGTTTGTCCTTATACAAAATACTCAATCACATTGACATAATTACAAAAGCTGCATTCTTGATAATATTATTTTAACAAGATCATAAATTAATAACTAGTTTAAAAGGATTAACCAGTTACTCAGTAGGAATCTACAGTAGTTAAGTCTCCAGTGCTTTTTTTACTTTTGTTTAGTCATTGTAATCTTCCTTCAGCTGACTGCTATTTGTGTGGACTGTTAAATAAATATAGTGTTAGCTGCTGTGTGCAAACAAAGGTGGTGAGCAGAACACAGAACTGGTAAACAGTTCTTTTCATTCAACAAGTATAATTATCTGTTGGCAGAAATGATGTTCCAAGCAGGAAACACTTGCTCACCCAACTGTTCCAGGACTCTTCAGTTTAACTCCATTTATTATATGTCCCTGATTGTTAGTGTCATCTCAGTGAAAATTCTTGCTTCTCTGGTCCTGGACAATGAGCAGTGGCTCATCCTGACTGTTCTCTGGCCCATCTCTTTTAGGACCCTAACAAGGGCTGGACTTACCTCTCTTCCCCAGAGCCTGTGCCAGCAGCTGCCAAGCCTGCAAGTGCTGTGAGTCTGTTCAGGTTAATTTATTGTAAGCCTGTCCTGTTGTCAGAAAAGAACAAAAGGGCTCTATAATTTTTCATACAATGTTACAAATTGGACAGTTTCAAGGCATTCTGCTCTTATTCTTGTAGTTCCAAATCCAACTTTAAGACACATATTTAAGTATAAATTTAGTTTATAGAATACATTTTTTCACACCAACCTATGATTTTGCTAAATGTACACCTTTGATATTCTCAAAGATCAATGTGTTACAAATCCAAGAATACTTTGTATAGCACTGATGCATAAGTCCCAGCACAATCACTGGATTAAAAAAAGTATTTTTACAAGCGTGGTTAAAAATAAGACGCCAACACAAGTTACAAAGACCCTGCACCACAGTGCTCTTATTTTAAAATAAAAAAAACAAAACTCCTCATCAAACTATAGAAGTTTTCAGCTTCCTAGCTGCTTCAAAAGTTGGCTTGTCTTTCCTTATTCATTTCTGCAGCTCTTTTCCCTTCTCATCAGTTCCTGGATGCTGGTTTGTCTGTCTGTGTTGGCTCCCTCACAGAGTTCCAGTGTGTTCTTTCCTTCTCACTCAACCTTCACATACAGTACCTACTAAAGAGAACTCCAATTAAATATAGAGAAGAACACAGATGAAACAGAGTGAATTACTAGATGACAGTCTGTGAAATTAAAAAAAATGGTTCTTCAACCCATTTGGATCTTTGTCCAAGGAGGGTAATCAAGACGTCTCAGTATCCCAGCATCTCAGTTCATGCTTACACATCTCTTGCACTTCACACTGTTCTCATGTATATATGGCAACTGGATCAACCCCAGCTCTGGCCTGAAGCCTGTTCATTTACACAGGTTTTCAACCATCTCACAAGTAAAATAACACACAATACAAGACTCATGCACACTCCACTCTCTGTATCTCTAACATCCTACTGATGGGGCTAGGTTCCTGAGTAATCTTGAAGTAATCGGTCTTCACATTTTCCTTCAGATTGGCAGTGCACACATCCATTTCCAGTAAGGCCTGGAAACAGACATTGCAATCTTCACTGAGTTATCTTACCCTTTCTTGTCTGAAGCCTCCTCCCTTCACCTTTGTAGTATGAATGCAGTCTGTCCACAGTGCTACTAGTGCATGCAGCTCTGCTAAATCTTTGTTACAGTAGAGGTCAGCATTACAGCTGGATTCAAGGTGCTCAGCCAGCTGACAGCTTTTACAGATAACATTTTCTTTGACATTTTTATTGAGAAAGTCAATCGTCCCACAAACAAAACCCTGAAGTGGCCTCATATTGTGTATTTTTACTTTCTTTGCAACAATTTAAATATAGAGGTCATGAGAAAAACAGAAATGAACATGAATTGGATAAATACTAATTAAACCTATACGTAAAGGAAGAGAAATCATGAAATAGACAAAAATAAAAAAGCATACATTTTCAAGACAAAAAGAGAATTTCTTATAAGTTATAATGTTTATTTATAACCATACATGATGTAAAAGAAAGCATTAAGAACCTTGAGTTTACACAACACCTATTAAGTCACTGAAAATCTAATTGTCTAATTTCTAATTGTCTGCTTGTTGATCATGAAAATGATGTTCCGGAAGGGGAAACAATTTCGATCCTTACCTTACCAATTTTTAATTAAAATGTTTATCTTACCTTTAAACTTGTCATACTGTAGCTCTCAACTGGTTACTCACTAAAGCAAGGTTTAATCTGGTCAGTACCTGGATGGGAGACCTCCTGGGAAGCTATGGTTGCTGCTGAGACCAGCGGGGGGTGCCCACCCTGTGATCTGTGTGGGTCCAACTGCCTTGGTATAGTGGCAGGGACACTATACTGTAGTGGGTGCCGTCTTTCAGATGAGATGTAAAACTGAGGTCCTGACTCTCAGTGGTCATTAAAGATCCCCAGGCATTTCTTGATGAGAGTAGGGAGTTCGGGCCCCTTTGACCTTATCATTCCCCCCTTGGTCCTTACCGTGGCCTCCAAATTGTCCCCATGTATAATTAGCTTGAACTCGCCCTGCGATGGACTGGCACCCCATCCAGGGTGTACCCCGCCTTGTGCTCGTTGCTTGCCGGGTACGCTTCCCTAGACACTGTATGCTATAAAGCAGTTTGGTAAATGACATGACATGACTTGTCACATTCTGAACTACTGTATATTTTGTTATTTCAGAAAAAGCATGTCCAATGACAGAGATTGTAAGCATCTCAACATATGGGTTTTTGTCTTTAAGAATTGTATTACTGAATGAAAAACATGGACACTGAGTTGTTGTTCCTAATATTATGTATTCACAAAATTCAGTATTTCTTCCATTTCTTAGTTTTAGAAAGAAGTCTGATAAACTGTACATACAGTATTTTGCCATTGTGTTTTACAGGGAACTGTCTAATAATCAGATACAGGAGCTGCCCAGTTTTTACCGCTGTCACCGCCTTGAGGAAATGTAAGTGTGCATCTTTTTTGTAGAATAAAAAATATTGTAGGGTGGCGCGTTCAGCGAGGATGAACGACAGGCACTCAAGCTCTTTTAGTTGACAGCACAAGTGCTTTTATTGTGAGATACACATATATCAGCACAGCAGCAGAAAGAAGGGAGAAAACGCAATAGAAACAG